GGTTCTGACTCAGCGACCCTGCACAGGGTTTTCGAGGTTGCAAATCTTTACAAGAGTAGAAAGCTTCATCTTTCTCCCGCAGAACAGATGGTAGTTTCGAACTGGTGACCTTGAGGTTAGCAGCCCGATTCATAACCATTACGCTATCAGAGCTCCTTTGAGAAAATAATGCCCTATGTTAAATAAGTCCTTTATTCTACAAACACATTTTCATACAGGAAAAAAACTTGAAACCACTTTTGAAAATGCCCTCACATAACACAAAGGATGCACGCCTCAATTTCTCACAACAATCACAAAGCATGGCTGACACTGTCAGAATGCAACAATTGTTGCTGTTGTTGATTTTAAGTGCCTCTACTCATAGCGACCCTGTGTAGGGTTTCGGAGGCAAACTGGGAGTCTGAACTACTGGATTGGTGGTTATCAGTCCAGTGCTTACCCTGCAGCCAAAAGGGTGAAAGGCAGTATTTTATTAGAGTACAACGCACAAGAAAATAAAACAGAAAGCAGAACGCCTCTTATCAGCTAATGAATTATTTGTTACTTTTTGATATATGGAGTACTTTTCCCTATTTGATTTGAGAGGAAAAGTCAAATGCCAGTAGGTAGAGCACAAGAAGAGGCTATTTTAATAGTTTGTGACAAGTTGTCAGAACAGCCACATGACAAAAACAAACACACACCTAAATAGTCAGTTATTGTGTTTACACCAGTTATTCCCCAATGCTAGTCAGCAACAAAGATCTTATGAGTCCCTATCCTTATGGACAACACAGTATGTATGTGATGAAGGTGTTTCCACAGAAGGTAAAATCTGTTATTTCTTGAGAATGATTGTTCCTTCTCTTTATTTTAAATGACTTCTGTTCTGCTTCTTTGATCTTAAAATGTTCTTCCACTTAGCAAATATAATACAATAACTGATACTTGCATTTTTATTTAAGTGTCCATACTTGACTGAGAAAAGTTGGCAGCCTGATGTTGATTCCCCTGTTTTGAAAATGGAAAATCTAAGGTTCTAAAAGCTACTAGACTTGACTTTATTTAATTTTTAACATACTTTCTTCCAGACTTGGGTCCTATCCCAAAATACAGAGACATCTTCATGAGACTCCATCACACTGGTACAGAAACTAAACTACAGGCTAGTCATTAAAATGATCTTCCTATCTGAATAACAATGCATTCATTTCCTCCCACATCAATTACTGGAGAAGTTTTACAACTAGATAGACTAGTGGAGGTAACAGGTCCTGATGTGGGTTCATGCTTTCCCCATATACTCCTAATCAACTAATTCACAACCAAAATACAAGCAGAACACATACCTCTTTATACTGCTTTTAACAATCATTCAGAAACTGCTCTATAAGGAGGGGACTTTTCTTCAGGGACCTCTAGCTCTGTCAAGCAGGGAAATGATGTTCTAGGTCACACTATTTCAATGGTAGGAAAATAATCTTACTACATGCCCCTCTCACCTTATTTTTCTGATAAATTACAGGGGAAGACACTTAATTGTAGTTATGCAAGGTAATTAGAATCCTACTTTACCAAAAAACCCTAAAAGGTGAACATTACTCCAAGACTATGTTGGAGTCCTGGTGTGGAACTGTAAGATAAGCACTAGACGGCTAACCACAAGGCTCATGGTTCAAACCCATCAGTTGCTCCTCAGAAACCCTATAGAGAGTCACTGTGAGTCGGAAGTGATTCAATGACATATAACAACAACATCATGTTGGTATGCAGGCATAGTGACTAAGACTTTACAGATAATATACCACACATTAGATACCTCAGTAATACAGAGGAAAAGAATGTGCAACGAACGAGGCGACTGAAGCCCCAGGTGTTTCAATCTGCTATCACTGTCTAGAAACAAAGATCTTTGTTAGAATCCTTGAAATTTTCTTATTTCCATTTAACCATGTTTGAGTTGGCCATTTAAATGTCTGTCAGTTTACATGTATAAATAATTTCTAAACTAATTGAAACAACTTTTGGCTCCATTCCCAGTTGATACAAGCAATCATTTGTAAGGTTGGTTCTATGTAAATGGAGGGGGTGGGGGATGGATTCCATGTGCTGAACCCCTACCATGTAGAAGGCACTAGGCTACATGATTAATTACAGGATTATCTCATTTAGTCTATACATCAGGCCTGAGAAATAGGGATTCTTCTCCCAGTTTACAGATAAGAACACTAGTAATTGGCAGAGAAGGAATTCAAACCTCAGTGTGTCCAACTCAAAGGCCAATGTGCTTTCCTTCTTAAAACTATACTACCTTCATCCTCAAAATTTAATTTTAATGTTGAAGATTCTGGCATCTTAATTCAATCAGACCAAGAGCAAATTCTGTGCCAAGAGCTATGAATTTAACCATTGTTGTTGGGTTCCGATCCACAGCAACCCTGTTATAGATAGGGTTTCCAAGGAGCGACTAGTGAGCTTGAACCACCAACCTTGCAGTTCAAACTGACTTTGCAGCCCAGTACATTAACCCACAGAGCCACACCAGGACTCCATGTTAGCATATCAATAAAACAGCCGGAGTTAAAACAGTTTTGTTAAAAATAATGGGTACAAAAAACTGACTATGAAGTTAGTTACTTTTATAATTTATAATATATCCTTCAACTGATGAAACATACAATCATCATCTCAAAAGGGTAAAGACCTTTCAGTAAGGAAGCACAGGCAGCACAGAGAGGTAACGAGGCAACTTGCCAAAGGTCCTCGGCTTACCTGTGGCAGAGCACTTGCACCCAGACAATCCATCCAACTCCCAAACCTGAGCTCGGACCCACTGCGGGGCACTACCTTCTCAAGTAGAGCCCAAACAGAAGACAGCATCCACCGTTTGGCAGTCTTACTTTAATCCTCAACATATTTTTGAGGTGCTTTCATTTCCTAGAAGCCTAGGATATCATATATACATAGATAACTCCTTTATGTTTTAAAATAAACCCGAGATTGGTTTCTTTTAATACATAATCGGTGGGGGGTAGGGGGAGGAATTAACCACTACAGATCTAGTTCTAAACCATGGATTAAGAAGAAATTTCATTTCTGGGCCTTAAACTTTTATAGAACATGAGCTGATCTATGTGTAAAAAGGAACACATTGAGGAAATATACTGCTGATATAACTAAACCCACTATCTATAAAACTTAAACATATTTAAGTAAGCATTTAATAATAGAAACAATACACTGAGCCTCCATTTAAAACCATGCACAAAGCAGAAGTCTGAACAAAGAAGTTATTTTTAGTTTAATTAGTTAAAAAAAAAACAACTTAAAACTATAAACCTTTAAAATGCAGGTGGCTCTTACAGGATGCAAGCAGAGTAACTAGAAGAAAAGCTACAACATTAATGACTATCCACCCCCCACATTTGTCACCAAAGTCTACAAAGCAGAACAGGCAACATCTGACAAAACAATAGTGAATAGGCTTTGTACAGCTTTCACAACTTTGATGTGTAAAAAAATGGGGAGTGCATTCCTTGTCCTAAAGGGCTTAAATCCTTTCATTTCAAAATATATTTTGCTTTCGCAGGAACATATTTATTTGAATTGCCCATTCCCATGAGCTGCTAGCAAAAATGATGCTTGCAACTCCATTAGCCAAAGGATGATTGGAACAAAATAAATCTAAGGCTTGTGTCTAATCAGCTGAAGTCCTAGCATAAAAGATATCTGTCCTAAATGCTCAGAAGCTAACCACAGACACTGTGTAAACTTAGACCCAGTGTCCTTCTCTTGCTCACCCCTTCACTCTTTAAACACTGTGTAGAACAAGACCACGCTGACCTTGCACTTGTGTATAAGTACGATATGAAAATCCTTCTCTATGGTCGGCAGTTTCCAAGCACAAAGCCGTATCCCTAGGTGATGGCCTATAAATTACTGTGAGTAAAAACAGAAAGCTAAGCTTCAGGCCATTTTCCATTGTTTCAATCTGCAACAGAAATGGTAACAAAGCAGACTGGTGAAGCTAACCATTTCAGAAAAATCAACTATACCGGGGCTTCCAAGACAAACTAGAGTACCTGAGTATCCTTGGTAGATTCTGCGTCAGAGCTGGCACACCGGTAGAGATAGAAAAGTGCACAAGCAGCAAAACAGAGAGAGACACTAAGATAGCTGAATTAATGACCACCGCCCCGCCAACAAAGCCAAACACAAACAGCAGCATGCATCCAGGACTCATGGCGCTGTGCTGGCATGGTGAAACACCCGAACCAAGAGGCCTACACAGGGGCCAAAGGGATATCTTTGTAGTGAGGCTCTGTCATTCAGCTGCTGCCACAAAAACAATGCCATCAGCAGCAGCCTTCCACTCCATCGCAGCGGCTCCAAAGCAATGACGTCCTCCCACTTGCCCCGCCTCATATCCAGAGCGCTGCTGCTCCTGGCATTTATGCAGCAACCAGGAGAGACAGCCAGTCTATTAACTAGGTTCCCCTCCACTAACAGTCCTGTCTTAGCTTATTGGCTACAATGCCTGGAGATCTACATAATTTATTCACACTCCCACGTCAGGCTGGCAAACCCTTTCAAACATGTCTCTAAGTAACAAAAAGGACTCTAAACCATTTCTATGCAGGAGACAGGAAAATTTTCAGACATTCCCACAAATTAGAAATCTTTTAACTTAGTGTAAAATCCTCAATTACTAGAAAACAGTCAAATACCTCAATATGTTACTAATAGGGCACGTCTCAACATTTACCTGTTTCATAGTGAGGCAGTTTCTATATATATTTTGGTTTTCTCTTCCACAGCATTCCAACCACAGTAGAGAGCTTTTTGAGTAAGCCTTCCTATTGTTCTCCAGGCTTATTCTCTCCTATAGCATTCCAACCACAGTAGAGACCTTTTTAAATAAGCCTTTCTTTTGTTCTCCATTATTAAAAAATCACAGAGAAACCCCAGAAATATATGATTTCTTTTTTTCTTACGGCAAAATGTACAACAAAGCTTACCTGATTCTACCGTGAGCTGTGGATTCTAGTGAATCACTCCCTGAGAGCTGATGAAGTTTTGTTCTTTCTAAGTGTTCCATATAATTATGAATCATCTGTTTTAAGAAAAGAATGAAAAAATACACAAATTGTAAGACATTTAGTATTATACAGCAAGGGAAGTATTTCCATACAATTTTCTCACTTATCACACTATACTCAATCCCTTATGAAAGAACATTAAGGAATGAAAAATGTTTAATGTCAATGCAATATGCAAATGTATACACTTAAGGATACTGATGTCCATAAAAGTAACCAATATCTTGTTAGCTATACAAAAAACAACCCAAAATAAGCCACCTTTAACTATATGTGATATCATTAAATGGTACAGTGACATAAATAAAACAAATTAGGATACAAACATTGGAAAGAAAATGATGAGAAAATACTGGCTAAAAATGATGACATCTGAGTAATCCAGTTGCTAAAATATGGGCAACAATAAATAAATTAATTTGAAACTTGAAAGGAAATTGTATCTTTTCCATTTTACAAAGCAGGGCTACCAAAACAAACTAGTGATCATTCCCATTTCACAAAGAATTAACAAGGTAAAGGCATTTTGAATTAAAAACGGTTTAACTTAATACCAAGATGTTTATTTCTTTATTCCGTAGACTTTGCTGAAAGAATGCTAAAATGTTTCCTCCTTTGTTTGACTGCTAATTCACTTGCATCATGACTTGATATTATCAAGAAATAAATACAAATAATAAAACTTAGAACACGTTGAGAATATTCTGTCTTAACGAACTATATGACTAAAAAGTTGAATATGGAAGTAAAACTTTCAATACATATAAACTATCAATAAATTCTGAGGTCTTACTGATTATTGATAAATCTACAGTTTCCTAAAACATGCAAAATGCAAAACTTTAAATCATAAAATTTGAAAGCCTTTGTTAGTACTAATACAAATAAAGAACAAGCAAAACTGAAAAAAGAAATGCTAATATTTCAAAGGAATGTAAATGTTAAGAGTATACAAAAAAGGTTGGTGTCTTTCTTGGTTCTTCAATTCTTAAATTCACATGGGTATGGAATATAAATTAGGAATATTCATTAGTATGACTATGGAAGCAAAACCTTCAAGGAAACATATAAACTGTCAATAAATTCTTAGGTCATACTGATTCTCGATAGTTTATTGTTTTACTTTTAAGAAACTTAAATCTGGAAGTAAAAGTAGACAAAAAAAAGCTGGTGTTTTCATTGGTTCTTTAATTCTAACTGTACCATGTAATAGCTTTGAAATTACTAAACTTGACTTTACCTATGTGAAAAGGAGTTATTAGCTCAATACCATTTAAAAAACTAATCAGACTGTTGCCCAGTCCTGGTTTGGCACTGTGGGCTAACAAGCTGGACTGCAAAGTCGGTTTGAACATCAACAACAACAAAACAAGAAATACATAAGGCAAAAAAAAAAAGAACCATATGAATCTAAGACGTGTTATTTTAAAACAGTTTTTATTTTAAATATATAGATTTTCTTTTTTATCACCTGAAAGGACAGTTTTCCAGAAATATCACTTTTGTCTAAGCAAGTCAAATAATAGGTTGTTCTATTCTTTTAGGAGTCCTGGTGGCACAGTGGCTAAGCGCTCAGCTGGCTAACCAAAAAGTCAGCTGTTTGAACCCACCAATCACTCCATGGGAGAAAGATGGAGCAATTGTCTTCCATAAAGATTTACAGCCTCAGAAACCCTATGAGTCAGAAATTCTACTCAGTCCTAAGGATCACTAAGAGTTGGCGTCAACTCAATGGCAAGAAGTTTAGTTTTCGGTTTCTTTGTTGAACAGGAATAACTTCCAGGGAGAAAAAATTAAACTGAAAGTAATATAACAAGATGGAATACTGGTGTGGCACTGTAGGATAAACACTGAACCACAAGGTCAGTTTGAACCACAAGGTCAACAGTTCAAACTCACCAGCCGCTCCTTGAAAATCCTATAGAGGGTTTTCAACAACTCAATGGCACTTAACAACAACAAGAAGACTACAATGTGATTGTTGAGCTTAATAGGTAATAATTTAAATGATCAAAAGCCTTTTAAAACACCTAAATTGATTCCTCATATACTGTGTGGTAAACCTACAGATGGAAGCTTCTGATTCTCTAAGTATTCAAATGAATAAAATAGGAACCTCCTCTAGATTACTCAAATAGCAATTAACCTATTTATTTGATTATCAAAAAAGAAAAAGGATTACCAAAAAAGGTAAGCATAGAATCAGTTCTCCCCAAGACAGTTCATTCTGTCTTAAATATTTAATACTGATATTTAAATATAAAAAGGAAAACCAGAAAATGTTGAATTTTAAACCTTCTCAAATAAATAATTCTAAGTAATTGCAAGTATAGTATTTGGATGTCCCTTAATAGTCCATAAAATGAAATTTACTCCAATTCACCTCAACTAACACTTAATAGAAGTCCTAGTGTGGCACTACAGGATCAACACTAGTTTGCTAAACACAAACTTGGTGATTTAAACCCACCAAGTACTCCTTGGAAACCCTATTATTGTTGATAAATGCTATCTAGTCGGTTATGACACATAGCTACCTTGTCTAGAATTTTCGAGGAGCAGTTGGTGAGTTTCAACTGCCAACCTTGCAGTTCATGTCAACCTTGTGGTCCAGTGCATTATCCTGCAGCGCCACACTAGGACTCCTAGAAACCCTATACATGGTCTCTGAGTCGGAACTGACTTCACAGCACATAACAACAACAACACCACAAATTAGGAGAGAAGAGCACCATCCATAAAATGGCTGTTACCATTTATTAAGCACTGACCATGTGTCATCCAGAGCTGGTACAGCCACTGTCTCATTTAATCATCACAAAGTTATCATGATTTTACAGATAAATGCCATAAAGTCACTTGCCCAAGCTGACTGGCAATAAAGGACTAACTGTTAGAACTATGTCACAGGTAGTTGGCTTTGGGTCTGTCAGTTCAAGCTTTGTAGAACTCATGCTTCATCAGCCCTTTTAGTCAGTTCCTTAGGCAAGCAATGAGCTCATTGTCCTTTCTTCCCCACACCCACAAGAAAACCCCACACCCTAAAACATTTCCTGCAGTATAAAATAAAAATGAGATGCCCAAAAAAGCAGGAAAAAAATAACATGGCTCATAACAATTTTAATAACAGGGCTTCACAGTACATCTCTAGTTTTAAAGAAAAAAACGTTAGTGGGAGACCAGGAGCAGAGCTGCCAGATGGTAGAGAAAGGAAAGCGAGCAGCCTCCTCCTGGTCCCATCGCTCTGGCTCCCACAAAGCTGGCTGGCCAGAAGAAGAAGGGCCATCGGCTATCAACAAAATGGTGACCAGAGAGGACACCATCAACATTCACAAGCGCATCCATGGAGTAGGCTTCCAGAAGCGTACTCCTCAAGATTCAAGGAGATTCAGAAATTTACCAAGAAGAAGATGGAACACCAAACATGCACACTGACACCAGGCTCATCAAAGTTTTCTGGGTGAAAGGAATTAGGAATGCCCCATGCAGTAACCCCACCACTCGTCTGTCCATTTGTCGTAATGTGGTGGCTTGTGAGTTGCTATGATTCTGGAAGCTATGCCACCGGTATTTTAAATACCAGCAGGGTCACCCAATGGTGGACAGGTTTCAGATGAGCTCCCAGACGAAGACAGACTAGGAAGAATATTTAGTCACTGAA